TTTGATGTAGGAGGATGCCCCAGGTTTTTGGTATGTGTTGGTCAATTCTAAGAACACAAAACCTGCGTCGTGGCCCACGCGATGCGACGACAAAACCGAGAAAACCGAGAAAACTGAGAAAACCAGAAAACCGAGAAAACCGTTTTCGCGTTTTCCCGTGTGGAAGCTTTTTCCAGTTTGCTTACGTCTTCTTGCTTGTCTTGCCTTTGAGCGTGAAAACCACAACCAAGAAAACCGGCAAAACGAGAAAACCAAGAAAACGGTTTTCGTCGTTCTCGCCGTTTTCCCGTTTTCGCGTTTTCGCCGTTTTCGCGTTTTCGCCGTTTTCGCCGCTTTTGTCGCTTTCGCCGTTTTCGCCCGTTTGCGCATTTTTGTCGTTTTCACCATTTTCGTAGTTTTCGCCGTTTGTGTCGGCTTCGCGCAGTCGTTGTTTTCTTGGTCTTCGCCACTTTCGAGGGTTTTCAATTATGCTCCTTAGTTGTGCACTAAATCTCAACGGTTGAAGTTTAAGTTCAATTCACGAATCTTAGTAAATAGGTCAGTGAATCAGAATGATCTTAATCTCCAATCCAAAAGGAATATCACCTCATCACAGGCACTACGCATGAACGACCAGATAACGTGACCAAGTCTATCCAGAGGGTACCCAGGGATGAAAGAAAAACAAGAATCAGACGACGTCCATTCCTCTCCATCAAACTGAAGAGCCGTGGCATGCCTCATGGCTCTCCTTGCGCGGAATCGACGAGCTCTTGCGACGCAAGGACAGATTGGAAACCAAGGGCTTGCGATGGACTCTAAGTTAGTTCGTGCGCGAAATGCAGGCGCGAGTGCGATTTGACCTGGTCCGGACAACCCTCTGCGGAGATCGTGCGTGTCGAATGCGCGAAATGCAGGCGAGAGTGCGATTTGTCCCAGTCCGGGACAACCCTCTGCGGAGATCGTGCGTGTCGAGTGCGCGAAATGCAGGTGAGAGTGCGATTTGTGTTTGTCCGGCGCAACCCTCTGCAGGACTGTGGACTTTGTAGTACAACTTCAGTGCGCGGAGCAATCTGTGGAGCTGAGAACTGGCGACTTTCGAGTAGAACTTCAGTACGCGGAGTATCGCAGGAGCTGGAAGCTGAGAGCTGGAAGATGCGAACTGGCGACTTTGTAGTACAACTTTTTAGTACGCGGAGCAATCTGTGGAGTCTTAAGCTGAGAACTGGCGACATTGTAGTACAACTTTAGTACGCGGAGTATCTGGGGAGCTGGAAAATGAGAACTGGTGACTTTGTAGTGCAACTTTAGTACGCGGAGTATCTGGGGAGCTAGAAGATGAGAACTGGCGACTTTGTAGTACAACTAATTTAGTACGCGGAGCAAGCTGTGACGCGGAGTATCTGGGGAGCTGGAAGCTGAGAACTGGCGACTTTGTAGTACAACTTTAGTACGCGGATGAATCATCTCTCGCGGCTGAGTCATCTCTGGCGCCACCCGGCTCTCTTGAGAGGTTGACAAATTTTAGCTACTTTGCTTACTCATAAGTGGCTGCCACAAAAGAGTCATCGTGACGTTAGTATGTGTGTACTTCACACCTTCATGACAAACGATGTTCGCTTGGAATACACGAGTCGCTTGTCATGATCGTCACGTCGTTTACTCTCAGGTCGCCCTGCTCGTGGAAACTTCAGTGTGAAATGTACGTTCTTCAGTTCTATTTGAACCTCTTCAGCATTGTACTTGCACAACTAAGGTTGACGTTGCGCAGCCGTTGCATCGACGCATCTACGTCATACACCCCCTCACCTCTCTACATATACACCGTCACACGCTCACATCCGCAGATCTACCTCTCCACCGCACCACACCCACACATCTGCACATCTATATCACATCTGTACATCCACACTGTCGCTCCTTCACATTTGTCCTGTCTTTCTTTCTTTCTACATATCTTTTCTCTCGTCTCTGTGCATTTACATCTTTGCACGCTCACATCCACAGATCTACCTCCACCTCCATACATCTACAGAATCTATATTGCACCTGCGCATCCACACTATCACTCCTTCACATCCACCCTCTCTTTCTCTCTTTCTATACATCTTTTCGACAGTGCTGGACAATTACATGTCTCGCTCTCGGGCCAACCGTCGTCTAGTTCTCAGTTTAACGTTTTCAACACTCTCCTTTTTGCGTGCTACTGAGGCTTATTATCAAAGGAACAAAGTCCTATTCTGCAACTCTCCATTCTTCTGAAACTGGTCTTTTGCAAACACTTGGCACTCTTCCCCAACTACTCGCCGTTTTCCCGTTTTCGCCGTTTTCGCGTTTTCGCCGTTTTCGCGCCGATGCGGTGTTCTAGAAAACCGTGAGCTGTGTCAAATCCAAGCACTTTGTTTCCGCCGTTTTCCCGTTTTCGCCGTTTTCGCGGTTTTCGCGTTTTCGCGTGGCCTGCCCCCGCATCACCGGGGGCCGAGACACACGTTTCGTATGCACAGGGTCAATTTGATGTAGGAGGATGCCCCAGTTTTTTGGTATGTGTTGGTCAATTTGATGTAGGAGGATGCCCCAGGTTTTGGGTATGTAATGGTCAATTTGATGTAGGAGGATGCCCCAGGCTTTTGGTATGTGTTGGTCAACTTGATGTAGGAGGATGCCCCAGGTTTTTGGTATGTAATGGTCAATTTGATGTAGGAGGATGCCCCAGGTTTTTGGTATGTGTTGGTCAATTTGATGTAGGAGGATGCCCCAGGTTTTTGGTATGTGTTGGTCAATTTGATGTAGGAGGATGCCCCAGGTTTTTGGTATGTGTTGGTCATCCGATTTGTTTCTCTTCTCAGGGACAGCTGCCTTTTCTGGACGCTCCGTACCCAGGACGAGAGCTTCGAAGGCAACAGTTCGGCCACCGAGGCACACACGTTTGAGATCGGTGGGAGTGACGGACAAGTTGAACATGGGCTTTCAAGAGATGGTAAGAAAAACGGATTGGTATTCCCAAACCTTACCGGAGACCCCCTATAAGGTTTACGTAGGATTCTTGGCAGAGGGCTTGAGAAATTGAGAAATACTGACTATATAACATAGTACATGCGATTGAGAGCACACTGAACCCCACGGTCCTTGTTGGGAATGACTATATAGAGTGGACTATCGGTTGTACTGGGTCTTGCCATATGGCCAAGATGAGCAGCCAAGAATCCTGAGGGTATAACTCCAAGATAAATACAAGAGATGTTGCTTGGGAATCGAGCTGGGCTTGCCAGTCGCCGACAGTGGTCAAAAACAAACACGTGCTTCGTGTCTACTCTTTGACCGCTCTCTTTCACTACGGGCAACGGACCCTTTCAATGTTCGCCAGACTGGTGTTGGACCCGAAAAACCAGTTAGAAAGGGCAGGGCGGTGGTACGCGAGAGAGAGGGAGGGAGGGGCAGAGAGGTTCAGAACAGCTGGTCCAAAGCAACTGCTTAGCTTCCAAGCCCTTCCCGGCCTTTTCGATCGTTGGAAGTGCATGAATTCCCCGCAGGTTCGAGTCGTGCAGCTGCCAAGACCTTTGCATGCTGGGCGCCCAAAGAACTGGGATCAAATGGGCCAGCAAGCCCAAACAAAGAGTGCTGGACTTCGAAGATTCCAGAGCCCAAGACACTCCATGTGTGTGCCATATATGTATGCCATGTATGACATACTGGGGTCAATGTCGGATTCCATGGAGGGAACCGACCTAGGAGGACACAGAAAAAACTGGTTATGCCCGACCCAACTGATCATCAGGTCGTTGGAACGCAGCATGGGTTCACCATCAGGAATGGTCCCTTTGCCAATGATTTTCAGGTCCCTGGTCCACCTGGTCCATGGGAAGGACCAGAAATAGACATGTCGACATGTCTTCAGGAGACATGTGTACATTTGCATCTATGCAAGTTCTATTTTCCATGCCTATCCATTTGCCGATTTGCATTTGTGATCTCAGGCCTTTGTCCATGCTGAGGCCAGAAAGCTTCGGATATATCCTCTCGAGTGGCCGGATGCCAAGATGTGGCCTATCTTTGGTCCACCTTTCTTTCAAGACCCTTGGGTCACCCTTGGCACGAACATCATTGCGAAGAGTGTTGAGAGTGTTGTGTGAACGCATTCCCGAGCTTCCAACACTCTTTCAATTGGTTTCCTTATGTGTCTAAAGCCTTACCCAAGGGATCCCAAGGGTGCCTTGCTGTGGAATCTTCACCTTGGTGACCTCGTGGCGCCAAAACGACCTCAGTCCAGGCGCCAACGACCTGCGCTACGGCTGGAGCTCTTTGTGCGGCGGCTCGGTGACCGGCCGCAGGGTGTAGCGGCCCGGATGGCCGTCCAGTCCATCCCGATGCCAGCATGGGTTGTGCGACCTGCAACCACCGCTCGTTTTGTGTTCGATTGTGCCAGCATGATTCTTGAGGCGGAGTTGAGTCTTCTTTTGGCTCAGCAAGATGGCAGATACCAGCCTGTGTGGCGTGCAACCATCTTTGCTGGAGCGCTTTTTTGCCAAATATGAGTTCACTTGTGGCCTGGCTGAACACCTCAGGATCCTCGGGTGAACACCTCATCCAAACTCACTTGAACAGCGAATACATGCGAACAGCATCAAATAAACAGAAACTTCAGTGCACATGCTTTCCTTGTGAGAAGTCCTTGAATCTGAAGTTGGTTTCGGTCAAGATGTCGATCCCCCGGCACCACGCCGTGGCCGTTGCCGTTGAAGAGACACGACGATTCCACGCTTTACAGGTCGCTATCAACTGAGCTGCTCCAATTGCGAGAGCTGGACAACAAAGGAGGTGCTCGAAGAATCTGATGTGGAATGCCAGGATCTTTGGGAGACTTGGCTCATCTTGAACCCGTCAAACCCGAGGCACCTCACGGGGTTTCCCCCTGGTTCCAGGGGATTTGAGAGGGACTGGCTGGATTCCAGGCATGCGTGTGCGAGAGAAGTTTTCTCCAAGAAAACCAAACAGAGAGAGAGAGAGAGAGATATTGAACAAGGACACTGCAAAAGTCTTTAAAGTCTAGCATGACCAAGGCCTTAGAATCCCTGGAGTGTAAGTCTTGGAAGGACACTGCAACTGACAGATTTTGTTGGGCGCTGAAGATTCCATTCCTTCCACCAATGGTGGCCATTTTGTGTCTCAGGCCTTCCCACCTTTCCGCCCCAGGACAACGCCAGCTTGGGATATACGGAAACCTTGGGGCACCCAAAGCTCTTGGAGGCCATCTGGCACTGCTACCGGCCTGCGCTTGAAGATCGATGCAGGAGGGTCCGGGTAGTCAGATGAGAGGGAGGACAGATGTAGGAATCCCCAAGGTGGGAGGACTCGGATTATTGGTCCATCCAATCCGGCTCATCGGTCCGGTCCAGGATCGATATGGATCGATTTTGGGTTCGAACCCAGGCGGGGTTACTCCGTGCCCTGCAGGAAACGGAGTATCACTTTGCCGGCATCCTTGTGTGAACAACAAGTCGTGAACATCACTGTGTGCGCAGCTCGATGGCAAGTGAAGAATTCGTGGAACGACTCCTGTTCAACACCTAATATGCAGCATGCTTTTTGATATTTCTAAAGTTGCTTCCAAGCGAGAGAGGAAACACAAACTTGTTCTTTGGACCGTGTTCAAGAGAGAGCCACCAGTGTTTTGGCACAGGCCGCATTGGTTGTTTCGATTTACTTGGCCATGGCTGCTCAAAGATTCCGTCTACATCTATCGACTTGCGTTTCGGACTTGTTCATGCCACTCACCCGCCGCCAGACCTGTCGTTACCATCAGGTGCCAGTCGAAGGCATCTACATTGCCATGTCCCAACTGCTTGGCCCTAAAGACGTGGTCATTGCCATGACTCCTGCAGCTGAGCAGAATCGGCCGCTTTCTGGTGGGACAATGAGCAGAAGCCCAAGACAAGCAGAATCATCCTGGGTTTGGGGATGTTGAGAGTCGTTGAAGCTGAGCAGTGGTTTTTTTCGTGCGTTTCTTTTTCAGCCCCTCCTCCGATGGTGGGACAGTTTTTCGTCAACTGGTCCCCAAAACAAACACTCCCAAGCAAGAGTGGCGTAGAATCTAGATGAATAAAGAACCAGACAAGGATGGTAAAACCATGTAACACCTCAATCCTGAGGGGGGTTGAAATATCATCAGTCTATCTGGCATAGATCCGCATGTCACGCTGTGACCGTGCATCTTCTCGCCGTCAAGGCCTATCAAGCCTTGACGGAGATCGCCCGCAGTCGATCCTGTGAGCTTTGGCCCTGGACCCCGCGACTCGGAGATTGCCCCGACTCGGGGAGTGGGGAAGAGAGCACGGAAACGGATCTGAAGTGCTAGATCAACGGGCACCTGAAGTGTGTTTTTTGGTGTGTTTCAAGCGTCCTTCTTCGGGTTTCTGTCGAGAGGGCTAGAATCAGTTGGGTGTTCTCTCATTTTTGGATTGTGTCCAAACTTGAAGTCTGACAATTCTTCAGTCCTTCTTCATTTTCACCCTCATTGCCCTTTCCCGCCCGAGGCAGTGGGAGGAAGGGGACTTTTGGAACTTTCGACTGGAGGACTTGCTTGGCGGAATCCACAATCCACACCGCTGGAAACCGGCATGGCATTTCCTCCACACCGCTTGACATTGGCATGTTGTCTTCGATCTGCAGGACTTGAAAGCTCTGTTGCAAAAGTGCCACAACATGGGCAAGGTCCTGAAGATGCTTTGCTCAACATTATGGTGGCAGGGTGCCGGGGTGACCTATGTCCGAGCAGGTGAAGGGATGGCCATGTGTGGGGTTATTCCTGGGTGAAGAATCTTATGGATTGGACGTGTCCTAGAGGGTGTCCTGATATATTCCATTATATTCCTGTAACAGTCAGTATCAGCAACTGTCACATACCGTCACTATTTTAGAGAAAGGCATTTACTAACCATCATTTTCCACCGTTATATACTGGTATTGGGATATACCCAACTTATGGACGCTTCAGAACGAAATTATAGTTTAGGTATATAGAGTATATACATGTAGGGAAGGGAATTGGGCAACTGGCGGGCTGGGAGGTGTTGGTAATTTCTCCTGAGCATTCACGAATAATTACACTCACAAAAGAACTGGTCATGTGGGTGAGTGAATTCAAAAAACTTCCCTTTGGGAAGTCCAAGCCGCTTTCAAATTGTGTCTCCAAATCTGCAGTTCGACGTAGTTTGACCATGTTTGGTATACAGTAGTTTGATTCACCTTTGCTTGTCAAGATTGTTGTCAAGTCAATGGACTGGAAACTGCCAGGCAAATAGGTCAGGTAGTAGGGCAGGTCTATTGACACCGTATTGTGGATCTTCTGTGGGCTCTCAGAGAAGTATGGCTCCCGAGGGGCAAGAGGTTCATGTTTGAGGACCTCACTGATTCTTACAAACCTTCTTGGTCATGTGCTGATTGAATGATTGATTCTCATGTTTTAATTCCGGCAGCTAAGGATGTTGATCATCAACTCGCCGCACAATCCGACAGGACACCCCTCAATTCACCTTCTCATGCGTTGATCTCGTAATTCTTTCAACTCGCTCCCCATGAGTTGCACTAGCAGAATGGCATCCAAGACCTAGTCTATAGCTCTGCGAAACGAATGAGTCTTCACACGCTTTCGTCACGCTGCACGTTCCAAACCGTAGATGCGTTGACGTGTCACTGCTCGATGTGCTGACTGTTGGCTGTGCACGGAGATGCTGTGCGAAGAGCCTGGAATAAAGTGGACCCCAAGGAGACACCATAGATAGCATATGATTCGATAGCATTGCACCCCATGTGCGGATCAGGCCAGCCCGTCGCAAGAACAGGAGTGGTGTTCAATCAGAGCGATTTGGACCAGATCTTTCAGTGGTTGGAGGACCTACAGCAAGAGGAGATGCCCATTCTTTTCTCAGATGAGATTCTTGGCTTTGGAGCGCATGCTTCTGTGTTTTTGGAGGGTTTGCCCAATCGGTTGATGGATTGCTTGGACCTCTACCATCGCAACTTGCTTGGCTCATCTCGACAAAACAAACCGCAATACGGACCAAACCATTCAGGCACCCGGGGTCAGGCAAACACTATAAAGGAACTTTCAGGTTAGATGGTTCTTTCATTCTAGTTGGTTCTTTGATCAGAACCATGAACAAAGTGGAGAGGAAGAAAGAAAGAGATAGCAAGACAGACAAAGCATGCACATAAAGAGAGAAGCAACTAAAGAGAGCGAGAGAGAGAGAGAAAAAAAACAAACAAACAAAGAGATAGATAGTAATAGACAGACAGACAGATAGTGGATGGATGGATGGATGGATGGGCCGACAGACAGACAGACAGACAGAATAGAATAATAGAATAGAAAGATAGATAGTAGATAGATAGGTAGACATACATAAATATATATATATATTGACAAACAGAATAGGATAGAACAAATCAGCATAGAAAAAAACATAGAAGATAGATAGATAATAGATAAACAGTAGACAGACAGACAGGCAGGCAGGTAGACAGACAGACAGACAGACAACAGATAGATGGATGGATGGATGGATAGATAGATAGACAGACAGAGCGACAGACAAATAAAGAGATAGAGAGAAGAAAGGGAGATGTAAAAGAGATGGGGAACACCGGGGGGGAAAGCTGGGAGCTGTTGCTGGACTTGCTGCTCACTCCACATCCTGGAGCACAACCGGTGCGCCCGCTCAGAGTTGTGAGTTTTTTTTTCAAACCCAGCAGCCTTGCATGTTTTGGTTTGCTGTCGTGAAACTGGATCACTTGTCATCCTTGAAACCGGCCGCAATGGCCTTTGTGTGAGACCAAAAAGCCTGTGAATCAGGTGAAATATATCTCCAATATGGGGAGCCGTCGCTGCGTTTGAAGCCATCGACCTTGGCTAGAAACTTTTACTGTAACTCAAAACGTGAAGGGTCCAAAAGAAAGAAAGAAAGGCAGGGTAGAGCCATCAATTGCCGGCAAAGAGAACACTCTTTTTTAAGCTAGTTCTCAACATTAATTCATTCAAGCAACCTGCCAACCGGAAGATGTGACGTAGCTGGTCTCTCCCGTCTTCAACCGTTTGCTGTTTGAGGTGGCTGATTCTTTCGCATGGCTGACTGTTGCAGGTGTTGTTTCCTTTGTCTGATCGTTCAAGTTCGCGCTTGGCCTCTTCATGGACATTCGCTGCTTTGTTGGTGTCTTGTTGGGCTCTGATTGGATGGGCATTGGGATTGCCTGCGCCCTTGCCTGTGGGCTTGCTTCTGGGCTTGCTTTTGGGCTTGCTTTTGGTGTTGCCTCTGCTCTGGTTGCAGGCTTCTTCTGAACAGGCTCTTGGCTAGGGGCGGTAGGCTCTGCTTTCTTTCTGCCCCCTCTCCCTCGTCCCCGTCCCCGGCCCTTTTCCTTTGCTGCTGTTGCTATGTTTGCTGGTTCTACTGGCGGAGACTCTGAGAAAATCTCTGGCTTTTCACTGCTGCCCGTTGGTGGTGGGCTAGGGCTAGGTCCAGTGGTACTGTTCTTTGGTGGGCTTGGTGACGCTGTTTTGCTTGGTGGCTGACTTTTGGGAAGCTGGATGGGAACCGTCGCCTTCCCTAAAGTAGCGGCTTTAGTGGTTGCGGTTTCTGATGGCCGCCTATTCATAATACCATCGCGAAGATGCCCTGCAATGTCAACATTGAAGTTGAACTGCATGAGTCGCTGGGGGAAAACATATAGCAAGACTTGGGCCCAAACCTTTGTGTAGGCATATGTGTGCCACAAGCTAATCTTGCCACAAGTTAACTAGGAGTGGCAGATGCAAGTGATGCAAGCTTATTTTTTCTTCAGCTTGAGCTCAATGTGTTGCCATCCCTGCCACGTGAGCAAGGTACTTCCAGCAATTCAGAGCTCTACTACCACCGTGGGCCAGTCGTGAGACCCAGCGTGAACAGAAAAGAAGGGAGGGATCCAAGACACCATGAGAATCACACAGTAGTTCACACAATATATGACAAGAAGAATCCAGTTCTTTCTTGGTTTAGTTAATTATTGTAACTATAGTTAATTGATAAGCAAAAACGATAGCTGTCCGTCTCCCTCACGAATCCCCTACTTGAAACAGACCGTGACCGTGGCACTGCCCCCCAACATTCGGCAGTCAGTCACATACTCGCACCTGGCTGAATCTCATCAGCCCACAACCTGACAGAACGCTGCCGAGCAATGGTAGGGAATAATGACAGTGTATCATAAATATTGTACAATGCCTGTGTCATTTCAAATGAGACCTGATATTCCATATGTGTTCAAAAGCAGCCACCGCTAAGTCCATATTTCAAGAACATATGGAGGATCAAAGATCGCTTGTGTGTTTTGCTTTGACTCTTGTGTGTTTTGCTGATAGTAGTGCAACAACTCTGTCAAACAAGTCTATTTATTTATCCAGTTCAATTGTTGCCCAACTCCACCGCAACACACTTAAAGAGCCTGTAAGGCTTGGAACCTCTTGAATGGAGCTCCTAAAGGTTCATTGATCGGATTGTGGAGTCTTTGGACATCAAAAACAATACAGAATAAAACACAGAGTCAAGTGAATTTCACAATTGCAAGCGGCCCTGGCCTTAACAGGTTTCCCTTTGCTAAGCTCGATGGTGGTCAACGCATGGACGTATGGCTTTTGCACTTTGATGTTGTTGCCAACCCGCTCATAGCGAAACCGGAATACTGGGCCCACGTAGCTAGAGAACTGCACTCCCTGGATTCGCTGGCTAAAGAAGTTTTTGCAGCTTTTTGCAGTGGTCCCGCGCTCTCCAATCGTCTTGTAGACCTTTTTCTCCTTCACAGTGACCGCAAAGCTGTCAAGACCAGCTTCAGAGGCTTCTGAGCGCTTCACATCTAAGAAGGGCATCTAAGAAGGACATGTTCACCGCTGCAAGCTTTTTTGCTTTTTCCACTGTCACGATCAGCTTGTAGAGGGTCATGGTCTCCACATTGGAGGAATCTGGCTTCAAAGAGCATTCATCAAATTGGACCAGCTCCTGATCCCCTGTTGGAAACTCGTATGGGACCCCTTCACCAGCATCGGCGTTCACATATTGCCCGGTGCCGTAGCCGCCCAATTGAGCTCGCTTTGGGATCGTTTTGTCTTTTGAAGCAAGGAGGTACACAGCCCCTGAAGAACCCGCTACGAGTTCCACACCTGCCACTTCAGACATCACCCTTTCAGAAATGGTATCCTGTTTCTCAAGCTCTTCAAGGCTAGGCCACACTGGAGGGGCGGCAATCCCGGAATCACCAGAAGTGGCTTCGGGGCGCTCCGTAGCCACAATCTCCTTGGAGGAATCTTTCACTGGAGTCAGAACGCTTCCCAGACCTAAGTGACAACTTGACAAAGCGTTCCACAAAATATATTTAAATCAAAATACTGTTGGGAAAATATCAAGCTCCCTTGAAAAAGAACCCACTAACACAGTCGGTGTGCAGAACAAATGTGACATTAAATGTCAAAGTCAGTATCAAATGAACCATTTTCAGGAGCATCTGGAATCATTCCCATTCATTTTTGTAAAAAGCCCTTGGCAACGTCCTCTTAATTTTAACTAATTGCCTCTACTTAAGCACACAAATATGCACACATGGTGAATAGTAGACAACAGACCCATCATTCAAGACCAAAGGGCACTCCATAAAGTTCTGTCGGTGGTGACTTTCCAGGGACTCAAAGTCAGCTGCAAGCCCATCGCCCTGGACCTGCCAGAAGCGGGCCTCATCAGGTTTGATGATGATCTTGGTACCATCCCTGACCAGGACTTCCAACTTGAGTTGGTCAATCGCCCCTGCGGCGACCTTTGCCCCAGGAATCTTTGCAATATCCTCCTCTGGCAAGGTGGGAGGGTCCTTCTGGAACTTCGCACCGGCCAAATCAGCCTTGCCATCCAGCCAAGCATCGCTGAGTTCACGCAAGATGCGGGCTGCACCAAATTCAGGCGAGTCCAAAAAGTGCAAGGAGAGGTAATGCAGCCGGTCCTTGAAGCTACACTGGCCGCCAGTAGCCGCAGCTGTCTTCAGGTCAAAGACCTCGCAAAAGAATCTAATTAGGTCAGCCGTCGCCCGCCAATGCTACAAAGCAAAATTTCCCCAAGCACTGACAACACAAAAAATCAATCAATCACCTAGAAACGCTCACCCCACAGTCTTCAACGTAGCCAGTCAAGTTGACCAAAAGGACTGGGCCCGGCGGTGACCACTCGCTCAACTTGAAGAGGCTGCCCCACATTGCGTTCATTTTCTCGCGGCCCTTTTGAGCTGAGACCTGCTCTGGGCTCGGTCGGGTCCGATCGGCCAAGCGCAAGTCATCGTCTGCTGAAACTGATTCTGGGAGAAGCAAATCTCTTTGCCTTGGCAAGTAGATCGTATCGGTAGAGAGTGGTCTCCCTGCGATGGATAGCTCACTCGAATTGAGCCACTTGTTGGTGTCGGCATTGGCACTGGATACCACAAGGCGGCCCGTGGACCAACGCCTGGAGAGAAAAGATTGAATTCCAAGCAAGTTGATGAACGTGTCTACTACCGTTTCATGGGAAACAAAACCTTCAAACATGTGCATTGAAGTTTGGCAAACCAACCAAATGACAGAAACCAGGCCTTCGTTTTGTCAGCGTTTCTCCGACCGCATGGAGTTCAAACGGCAGAATGAATCTCACATCGCAGAACTGCTTCACGGACCAGAAGCTGGTTTGGATTTCCAACTCCTCATCCGCAAGGCCACGCTTGGATGAAGCCCGTGGTGTGTCTGGGAACTCCACCACTGAGACATTGAGGTCGCCATTCATGTCGTTCAACATTGCCAACGCTCTTGCAATGTCATTCACCCTGGTCTTTGACTGCGCATTGGGGGCGTTCAAATCGGCGTAGCCAATCACGCAAGTGTTCTCCACAGTCGAGTT